GTTTTGTTGTTGTTGTTGTTGTTGTTGTTGTTGTTGCTAAGAGACTCCTCCTCATCCTCACTAACAATGGAGCCTCTAGTTTCAGTCAGGGTCTCTTCAGAAAATTCATCCTCACTCTCTACCCCTGAACTCAAGGAGGCTTGAGTCTCAGTCTCTTGTAACTCTAAAAAAGCCTCTTTTGTGTCCTGAACTACCTGGTGGTGACGAACCTTATCTGTCAAAAGTGCACCCCTCACTAATCTCCATAAGGAGAATGTTGTAGGGGGCAAGGACTCAGATCCCTCTTGTCATAAAAGTCTATGAAGATCACGGCGAACCTCCTCCCAATCTGGGATATTTAAGCTTCCCCCAGTAATGAACCATGGACTGGCTTGTTCGATCGATTTTAGAAAGCCTTCTAGGGTTTTAGACTTGACTGCAGTCCCATGTCCTTTGAGTACCTTTTTTAATTGATACTGTAATGATTCTAGCTTCCCGGAACTATTCCCCATTGTTTCTTAACCCCGTCCACTTACCTTGCTTTCACGATCTCGGTGGAACCTCCAATTGCCGCATCAGCTGCACAGCCTGTGTCCGAGAACGTGCGGAGGGTGTTGGGGATTGACAACACAAGAGACTCGTTCAACGATGTAAAGAAAACTTTAAGCAGGCCCCAATAAGGTTCAAGAAAACTTCCCAAGAAAGGCTCCCTCCAGAGAAGCTTCTGCTCTCTCCTATACCCTGGCTGGTTTTGCCCTGACACCAAAACTGATCTAGGTGTGTCAGAAGAGGCGGTTAGTCTTTGGACAAGTTCGAGGTCAGGGCAGTTCCCGTGGGCAAGCCTTTTCCAGGAACTTATTGCCCTGGGCATTGTATTGTTTTTAGTAAACATGATTTTAGTAAACATTGTCTCACAGCTGCCTACTTCCAGGCCGATGGGGAAGCGGGTCTCTGCTCAAGATCTGGTGTCCCTACAATTAATATCAACACAGAAAGTCCAACTTTTACAGGTATGCATACTGGGAAAGGTAGCCATACAGATGAGAATAAGTATGAAAGAAATTAAGATTTTAGAGATATAACAGAGTTTAGACAAATGATAGTCCCCAGATTTTATTTTCTTACACCAATTGGATTTCTTACACCAATTGGATTCTTGATATAAGACAGAAACTCTGAATTTTACTTTAACAGCATACTTGAATTTAGAGAAGGAAAGCAAAATCCAACTCCGAAGTCACTATTGGCTTTACATGAATTGGGACTAGCAGAGTACTAGGAAGTAAGAAGATAAAGACTCTGTATAGTAAGCTTTCAACAAGAATAGATATTGGTGCCTAAGTCAGATTCTTCTTTGTTTGATGGTTCTTTCTGGATAACTATCCTTTCTTCTTTAGGCATCTACATGTCCCATGTCTTTTAACTTCTTGAAGATGGGTGTTTTCTGACAAAAACAGAACACTCCCCCTACCTTTGTGAGGTCTCCATACCTGGGTGGATGATGGATCACCTCTCTTCATCAAGAGATTTATCCTATTCAAATTGGATTTTGATCCATTTTGATGGTATCCAAAGCTTTTCTTCTCTTGTAGAAACAAAAGTGAAACCCCTACCCCAACGTAGCAAATGCCCTGTTTTCCATACTGAGGTCAATACATCCTTGAAATACACTGGCTGATTTATCTCAAAAGTTTTTTCTATTGTCCAATAAGAAAGTTTAAGGTTAGTAAAGCATTGTGTAATCTGTTTGGGGGAGTCTTGGTTCCCCCAGTCTGTTTGTAGAGCATTTCCTTTAAAGTACGATTAGATCTCTCAACAACTGCTTGACCTGTAGGATTGTGTGGTATACCAGTAATATGCTTTATCTTACAATATTTAATAAAACTCTCAATTTACTGGAGACATTTGCTGGAGCATTGTCATTTTTTATTTGTGCAGGTATACCCATAATAGCCATTACCTCTAATAGGTGTGTAATAAAAGAATCAGTCCTTTCAGAGCTCAGAGCAGTTGAGCATTAAAACCTTGAAAATGTGTCTAGTGTATGGTGCACATATCATTTTTTGGCAAGTAATATCTATCCAGAAAATTGTTCATTTCCTTTAAATTTTCAAATTTTGTGGAGTACAAGTTTTCAAAGTATGACCTGATGATTCTCTGGATTTCCTCAGTGTCCATTGTTATGTCCCCCTTTTCATTTCTGATTTTAATTGGCATATTCACACTCTGACATTTGGTAAGTTTGCATAAAGGTTTGTCTATCTTGTTGATTTTCTCAAAGAACAAACTCTTTGTTACATTGATTCTTTGTATTGTTTTCCTAGTTTCTGCTTTATTAATTTCAGTGCTAAATTTTATTATTTCCTGGTGTCTACTCCTCCAGGGTGAGTTTGCTTCTTTGTGTTCTAGGGCTTTCAGTTGTGTTGTTAATTCTCTAGTGTGGCTATGCTCCAGTTTCTTCATGTGGGCACTTAGTACTATGAATTTCCTCTTAGCACTGCTTTCAAACTGTCCCATAAGTTTGAGTATGTTTTCTCTTCATTCTCATTGAATTCTAGGAAGTCTTTAATTTCTTTTTTATTTCTTCTTTAACCAAGAAATGGTGCAATTGTGCATTATTCAATTTCCATGAGTTTGTAGGGTTTCTGAAGTTTATGTTGTTGAATTCTAACCTTAACGAATGGTGGTCTGATAAAGCACATGGAATTATTCCAATTTTTTTGTACCTGTTGAGGTTTGATATGTTGCCAAGTATGTGGTCCATTTTTGAGAAGGTTCCATGTGGTTCTGAGAAGAATGTAAATTCTTTTGTGTTTGGATGGAATGTTCTATAGATGTCTGTTAAACCCAATTGGGTCATAATTTCTATTAATTCCTTTGCTTCTTTGTTAAGTTTCTGTCTGGTGGTCCTGTCTGGTGAGAGTGAAATGTTGAAGTCTCCCACTATGAGTGTGTGAATGTAGAGAGGGACTATGGTGCTGGCAGTCCTGGGAAGACTAAATCCCATCCCCCTATGTTTATTTTTAAATGCACTATAAACCCGTTAGAGGCTTTCCTTCATCTGAATCTGTCTTTACTGTAAATCTTTATCTTTTTCTGACCACAAGTTTTTTATCTGCTGAACAGCATTGCTAGGATTAAAGAGGATATTTTAGTTGTTGGCTTTCCAACATGATGGGAGTAAGTTTACCAACAGCACCAGGAGCTGTGCTTACTGTCTGACTCTTAAACCTTTATGAGTAAAAGCTAAGTCTTCCATTGCTGCCACCAGCTTCTCATACACACCATTCTTATTTGGTATCTTGGTCTCTTACAAAGAGTGCTGTGGTTTTTTGCTGTTTATGCAGAGTCAGGAAACCTCCCTTAAAGAAGTTCCCTGAATCTTTGCTTGTCTCTAGCAAAACAGATCCCACCTGAGAAAATACTGTTACCAAGAAGCTGTGCTTGCCTCTGTTCTTTTTTTTTTAAATCCCTTTTTAAGTTTTTATTAGGTTTTGTGTGGAAGTTCGTACAACCCATGTTGCTAGCACCATTTTGTAAGTATGAGTTTTCTGACCCATCTTCCTGGTCCCTCTACTGCTTCAGCTCCAAAAGAGCACACAGAGACTTATATTAATTATACAACTGTTGGCTAGTGGCTTGGGCTTCTTATTGGCTATCTCTGTCATGATTAATAATCCACATGTATTTCTACGTAGAATTTTTTTAAACTTTAATTAACATCAACTTTAATATTGGATTCTGTCACTAAAAACCAGAGTAAAGAAATCAATTAACAAAATGGAGTTAGGGATGAAATGCAGGGCTGTAATATGAACTCATAGATGCACTTCTTTGGCTAACTCATTAAAAAATGCCAATTAAATATTTTCAGTCAATTTTTTAAAAAGCATCAAACCAACATCACAACTCAAGCCTAATCTAAATGTGCACCTGACAGTGAAGCACATCTATGTGTTGAGTGAAAAAGGCTTTCAAAATAGTCCATCAGATGTATGGTCTCCAAACACCCAAATAAACAACCTCTCTTTGTAAGCCTTGTGTTCCATGTCTCACTGGGAACCGAGGCGTTATTGCTGGGAACACAAGTCTGCAGTACAGTAGCATGAGTCTTGGGTAGCAAGCATAAACAGTTGAATCAAGTTAAAAAGTTGAAAATGTGGTAAGAAACTGTGGAGGTGGGGGATGGGGTAGAAGACAGTCTGTGAGCCTTGACCCAAGAGCAACTGAGACATCTCTTAACTTTTCAATCAGCAGGCATGTTAAATCTCCACTTGTTTTAAAAGAAGGCAATTAAAACTTACAATTCCAACAGCCCACAAACCAAATAAGAATATCGTAAAAAGAAATCAAAACTATGTTCAGAGCTCCACCCCATCTCATTTTCAGCACCCCAAGGAAAATAAAAGCATCCATGACTATCACAGATGAAAACAAAATGAATGTCACTGGAATCAATTTTTCCCCACTGAGGTATACAATCTGTATAGAAATCTGATACTAAAACAAATTGTACTTCTCGTAATTCTGTTTTTAATTTCCTTTAAACCCTGTTTGATATAATTTTATTGTAAAAATGTTTTCATGATGCTGAACCTGGTTCCAGTTCTTTCCACTTACTTTCCTATCAGGTTAATATTGCAGCTACTGGTTCTATCAGGAGCCTCTTCTGCAGGAGGCACACTCAGCAGAAAGGCTGGTGTGCACAGAAGCTGTGGAGGGGCCTCTGTCAGAGAGCACATTCTGCCTGCTGGGGACCTGAAGGCTATTCGCCACTGTTCTCGATGAGGACTCTTCCAGTCCTGTAAACATCAGTGTGCCACGGTCTCACTACTTTGCAGTCTCATGTCCTGGGACAGGAAGGCTGGTTCACAGCAAGTGAAAGGCTAGAGGAGTCTGAGTTTTAGTGGCTGATAAACCTTACATCCCACAGGAGAGGAAAACACTTTTCCTTCTTTGCTACTTAAGAATGTGGCAGAAATGTATGCTGAGGTAGCCCAGTCAATCCTTATTTTTCTTTCTTTCATTGTTGTTGTAAATTTGGTCTCAGAATATTTCTGGAAGGGTGACATTTCGAAGAAGCTACCGCTGGGACCTGCTTCCAGTACAGTCTCTAATGCTGGGAACTTGGCTGTCCTCTTCTGTGGCTTTATCCAGGCACTGGTTACTGTTCACATGCTGCAGGGTTAATTTCACTGGGTCATACTCCCAGAGCTTGTTGCCTTTTAGATGGTGGTGCTTGATCATGGTGACTGGGCCATTAAGTTTGGAAACGCCCAAACAAAGGTCATCTGTTCTAATTTCTTTGTTGTCAGTATAGGAGAAAACCTGCTTTCCTCCCATACCATGGCAACTGAAAATTCCAACCTTTCCATTGTCTTTTCTAGCCAAGTTATCTAGACATTGATTTGTTTCCACATTTCCTATCTCTCCCAATGAGAAATAGTGACATGGAATTTGAGAATCATGGTAAATATTTTCTAGGTACCAAGAGAAAGGTTTGCATTGTAGTTTATGTCTCAGACCAAGTCTTGATGATATATCTCCATAATCCACCTTTGTAACACCTGGAGAAATTATGTAGAAGAAATTCTTGAATTCATCCATCCATATTTCTGCAAGCTGTCTGTTATGTTTATTGATAATCTGCCCTGTCCCTCCTGGAAACATGTAAGGTGTAGCTTTCTGAAACACATGACCAACATGGGAACAAGTCACAATTTCCAAAGTTCCTCCACACTGCCAAATCCTAAAGGAAATTTCTAGGTTTTCTCCTCCCCAAATATCCATGCCAGCATCATATGTTCCAATTTCCTGAAAGTAATCTCTGTCTATTGAAAAAAGGCCACCAGCCATTGTACGTGTTCTGACAGGAAGAGTCCGGTCACCTTTCCTTCTGTCCATTTTTCTCTGGGAAACAGGACACCAATGAAAATTGAGCTTCCAGTTGAATCCACCATAGGTCATTGTCGCACCTGCTGTGCGGCCTGTCAGAGCCTGTCAGAGCCTACCACATACTCGAAAGTATCATCGCTGATCACATCAATGATAGGACACACCGAGGTTCTCCTGTATGTTTGATCCTGGCTAAGAAAGGCTCCAACCACCCTGCCGTACACTCACAGTGTGCATCCAAGAAGGTGATCACTTGGCCTTTGGACACAGCAGCTCCTTTTAATCTAGCTCTGATCAGCCCAGAACGTTGTTCCATTCGAATTACATGAACTGGCACCTTGAGTTTTTTCACATAACTCTCTGGAGGTCTTTTCAAAAAGTCTCTTTTCCTGGCATCATCTAAAAGAACAATCTCTTCTATCATGTGTCTTGGGGAGTGATTAATGACACTATGGACTGTTCAAAGAAGTGTGCTCCATGCCTCATTGTGGAAAACAATCACCATGCTTGTTGTAGGAAGATTATGTGGATACACCTTTATTTTACACCCCTCTAACCTCACATCTGGTAAAGATCTGTTGAGTGCAATCTTCTCACTTGCCATTAAGTTGAACTGATTGATTTTAAACATCTCTTTCATCTTTTCTTGATCCTCTTTAGGAATGACAACTGGTTTTCCCATTTCTCCAGGACCTTCTTGAGGCTTCTGCACTGGCTCTGAAACTTGTTTGAAATCCTTTGAGGGCATGACACTGCCTGCAGATGAGCCAAAATCCTCATCATGCAGAAGATCCGCTTTCAGTCTAACAAGACTCCAGACACCATGCTCAGCTTTGACAAGTTTCGTCCCCGCAGGAAGTCCCCCTCCTTCTTCTCATCACACTTGTTGCACTCACTGGAGTAAAGCAGCAGGAACATATCCAAGAGTACCCAAACCAAGGAGGTGTTGAGAACCACCTTGCAATATGCAAGTTTTCTCATGGCACTTTAAGTCAAATGTAAAATTTTTAAATATACATATGTAAATATACAAATGTCATGAAAATTATTCCAATCTGGTTTCACCAATAATCACGGTCACACTCCCAAAGTGACTTTTCAAATGAATTCATATCACAAATCCCCATGTCTCACATCATCTTAAAACAATGACAAAAGTTCTGAGCCAAGCAGGGTGGTGCTCACCAATAATCAAGCACCCTGGGCACAAAGGCAAAAGGATGGTCAAGGTCAGCTTGGTCTTCATAGTGAGTTCTAGGCCAGCCTGAGCTCCAGAGTGAGACTTAGGGGCCCTATCCCACTTTAACCAGCATACACCAACAGTGAAGGACTTCATTGTGGACAGGCAATGTGATTCACAACTTGAGCAAGCAGTAGCACTTTCACAACCAGAGACAGAAAGAGAAGAGGGTGATCTCTGTTGTGGTGCTGGATGATTCTGTCTCATCTGTGGAAGTTATCCATAAACAAATAAACAACAAAAGCCTGGGTCCAGTGGTCCATACCTCTGGTTCCAGCATTCCAGATAAATACGGTCAAGACTAGCACTATTCAACTGTAGCACACTTGGCTTTTTAATCCGTGAAATGTGGCTACTGAGTGAGGAGCTGAACTTTTTAAATTTAAGTAACCACATGTGGTCAATGATTACCACCAAGAACGATCCTGGTCCTGGTCCAGACACAGATACTGTGTCGGGACAAAGACAGCTGGTGGCGGCAAGTAGAGCCTCGGGGAGCCGGCTGGTCTTCTGCAGCAGAGATCAAAGGCTCCATCTCCGCCTGCATAGTCTTATCTTACCAGAGAACGCCTGACTTGTGTCCCCAGTTTTCAGGCTCACATGATGACTCCTGTCTGCTTACACTTCACAGCATTCTCCTCGGCTGGCAGTCCCGCCGATCCTTCCTGCCTGGTCACTAGTCAAACAGTGCTTTATTCATTAACAATAAGACAAATGTAGCCGGGCATTGGTGGTGCACACCTTTAATCCCAGCACTCGGGAGGCAGAGGCAGGCAGATCTCTGTGAGTTCGAGGCCAGGCTGGACCGACAGCCTCCAAAACAGAGAAACCCTGTCTCGTAAAACCAAAAAAAAAAAAAAAAAAAGACAAATGTATGTTTAGAAGGACATCCCCATCACATCTATCAGTTTTTTTCTTTTTTTTTTATTATTAATTTTTTTTTAAGTTTAAATTAGAAACAAGGTTGGTTCACCAGTCAGTTCCAGGTCCCTCTCCCTTACCCTCCCCTACTCCCTTGCCCTCCCCCAACTCCCCATTATCCCCTCATTTCCCCAGGGAGGGTGAGGCCCTCCATGGGGGTGTCCAAAGACTGTCATTTCATCCAGGGCAGGGCCTAGACCCTCCCCCAAGAGTTCATCTCACATTGTTGGATGGGAGTCCAAAGTCCCTGTGTATACTCGGGATGAATACTGATCTACTGCCCAAGGCTCAATAGATTACCTAGGCCTCCTCACTGACACTCACATCCATTTTTCTGAGGAATCTCCATACTGATTTCCAAAGTGGCTGAACCAGTTGGCACTCCCACCAGCAATGGAGGAGTGTCCCCCTTTCACCACATCCTCTCCAGCATAAATTGTCATTGGTGCTTTTGATTTTAGCCATTCTGATAGGAGTGAGATGGTATCTCAGAGTTGTTTTGATTTGCATTTCCCGGATGGCTAAGGATGTTGAGCACTTTCTCAAGTGCCTCTCAGCCATTTTAGACTCCTCTATTGAAAATTCTCTATTTAGTTCTGCAGCCCACTTTTTAATTGGGTCGTTTGATGTTTTGGAGACTTGCTTCTGGAGTTCTTTGTAAATTTTGGAGATCAACCCTCTGTCAGATGTGGGGTTAGTGAATATTTTTTCCCATTCTGTGGGCTGCCTTTTTGTCTTGCTGACTGTGTTCTTTGCCTTACAGAAGCTTCTCAGTTTCAGGAGGTCCCATTTATTAATTGTTGATCTCACTGTGTGTGCTAGTTGTGTTATGTTCAGGAAGCTGTCTCCTGTACCAATTCCTTCAAGGGTATCTCCCACTTTCTCTTCTTTTTTTTTTTTTTTTTTTGTCCTTTCTCATGAATTTATTAAATTATTTTCTGTTTTTATTTATTTTTCAGTTTAAATTTAGATAAGAAACAAGGTTGCTTCACAAGTCAGTTCCAGGTCCCTCTCCCTTTCCTTCCCTCCTCCCGTGCCCTCCCCCCAGCCCCCCCCCCCCCGTTATCACCTCATTTCATATAGGGCAGGGCCTAGACCCTTCCCCAAGAGTTCAGGCTGAGAGTGCACCTCACATTGTTCTATGGGAGTCCAAAGTCCGTGTGTATACTTGGGATGGGTACTGATCTGCTGCCCAAGGCTCAATAGATTCCCTAGGCCTCCTCACTGACACCCAGATTCAGGGGGTCTTGATCAGTCCCATGCTGGATTCCCAGGCTGATGCCTGGGATTCAAGAGTTAACCTTTGTCTGGTCAGCTGTTTCTGGGGGTTAAACCAGCCCAGTCTTAATCCCTTTGATCATCAGTCCTCCCTCTCTGTTACTGGCTTTCTTGAGTTCAGCTCAGTACTTAACCAAGGGAGTCTGCCTCTTCTTCGATCAGCCACTAAATGAAGTTTCTGTTTCCCAGACTCTCTGGCCATGGGATTGTAGGCTGGCACTCCCCAGATCTATGTCTAAAATCCATATATGAGAGAGTACATGCCATGTTTCTCTTTTTGTGACTGGGTTACCTAACTCAGGATGGTTTCTTCTAGTGTCATCCATTTGCCTGCGAATCTCATGATTCCATTATTTTTTTCTGCTGCATAGTACTCCATTGTGTAAATGTACCATATTTTCTCTATCAACTCTTCGGGTGAGGGACATCTAGGTTGCTTCCAAGTTCTGGCTATTACAAATAAAGCTGCTATGAACATAGTGGAACAGACATCTTTGTTGTATGAATGGGCATCTTTTGGATATATGCCTAAGAGTGGAGTTGCTGGGTCTTGTGGTAGGTTTATTCCCATTTTTCTGAGGAATCTCCATACTGATTTCCAAAGTGGCTGAACCAGTTGGCACTCCCACCAGCAATGGAGGAGTGTCCCCCTTTCACCACATCCTCTCCAGCATAAATTGTCATTAGTGTTTTTGATTTTAGCCATTCTGATAGGAGTGAGATGGTATCTCAGAGTTGTTTTGATTTGCATTTCCCGGATGGCTAAGGATGTTGAGCACTTTCTCAAGTGCCTCTCAGCCATTTTAGACTCCTCTATTGAAAATTCTCTATTTAGTTCTGCAGCCCACTTTTTAATTGGGTCGTTTGATGTTTTGGAGACTTGCTTCTGGAGTTCTTTGTAAATTTTGGAGATCAACCCTCTGTCAGATGTGGGGTTAGTGAATATTTTTTCCCATTCTGTGGGCTGCCTTTTTGTCTTGCTGACTGTGTCCTTTGCCTTACAGAAGCTTCTCAGTTTCAGGAGGTCCCATTTATTAATTGTTGATCTCACTGTCTTTGCTAGTGGTGTTATGTTCAGGAAGCAGTCTCCTGTACCAATTCGTTCAAGGGTGCCACGCACTTTCTCTTCTAAGAGGTTCAGTGTGGCTGGATTTATGTTGAGGTCTTTGATCCATTTGGATTTAAGTTTTGTGCATGGCAATAAACATGGATCGATCCGCATTCTTCTACATGCCAGTGTCCAATTATGTCAGCACCATTTGTTGAAGATGCTTTCTTTATTCCATTGCATATTTTTAGCTTCTTTGTCAAAGATCAGATGTTCATACGTGTGTGGGTTAATATCCGGGTTTTTCCATTCGATTCCATTGGTCTACCTGTCTGTTTTTGTGCCAATACCAAGCTGTTTTCAGGACTATAGCTCTATAATAGAGCTTGAAGTCAGGGATGGTGATGCCTCCAGATGTTGCCTTGTTGAAACGGGTTATTTTGGCTATCCTGGGTCTTTTGTTTTTCCATACAAAATTGATTATTGTTCTTTCAAGGTCTGTGAAGAATTGTGCTATCTGTTTTTTCTATGCCAATAACTTACTCAAATTTTCATTACTATAGCTCTCTAGAAGAGGTTAAAATAAAGGATGGAAATAAGTCCAGATATTCTTTTATTATATAAGATTGTTTTAACTAACCTGGGAGTTTTTGTTTTTGTTTTCCCATGTGAAGCTGAGTATTGTTCTTTCAAGTTCTGAAAACAATTATGTTGGAATTTTGATGGGGATTGCATTGCATATGTAGATTGCTTTTGGTAAAATGGGCATTTTTTTACTATGCTTATCCTACTAATCCATGAGCATGGGAGATTTTTCCTTCTGATAATCTTCTCCAAAACTTGAAGTTTGTGTCATACATGGTTTTCACTTGCTTGGTTAGAATTACACCAAGATATTTTATAATACTTTAATCTATTGTAAAGCGTATTGATTCCCTGATTTCTTTCTCAGCCAGTTTATCATTTGTGTACAGGAAGGATACTGTTTTGGTTTGGTTTTTTTTTTTAGTTACTTTTGTACCTAGCTACTTGACTAAAGGCAATTATCAGCTATACAAGTTCCCTGATGATTTTGGGGGGGTCAATTATATGTTCTATCATGCCATATGCAAATAAGCCTTTTCAATTTGTATACATTTGATTTCCTTTAGTTGTCTTATTGCTCTAGCTAGAACTTCAAGTACTATATTGAAAAGATATGGATGGAGTAGACAGTCTTGTATTGTTTCTGGTTTTAGTGGACTGCTTTGAGTTTCTCTCCATTTAATTTGATTCTGGGTATTAGCTTGCTGTATATTGTTTTATTATACTTAGATATATCACTTGTATGCCTGAAAACTCCAATACTTTTATCATGAAGGGGTGTTGGATTTTATCAAAGGCTTTTTAGCATCTAATGAGATGACCATATGGGGATTTTCCTTCCAGTTTGTTTATATGGTGGATTACATTGACAGATTTTTGTGTTGAACCATCCTTGCACCTCTGAAATGAAGCCTACTTGATCATGGTGAATGATCTTTTTGATGTGTTGTTATATTTAGTTTGTCAGTA